GTGTGTGTGTGTGTGTGTGTGTGTGTGTGTGTGTGTGTGTGTGCGTGTGTGTGTGTGAGAGTGTGTGTGTGCGGGTGAACCTGTATTGTATATTTGTGAGTTTGTGTGAGCGCTTATGTACAAGTTAGTGTGATCCTTTATATGTGAGAGAGAGAGAGAGAGAGAGTGCGTGTGTGTGTTTGTGTGTGTGTGTGAGAGAGAGGGAGAGAGAGAGAGAGAGAGAGAGAGAGAGAGAGAGAGAGAGAGAGAGAGAGAGAGGAAGAGAGAGAGAGAGGAAAAGAGAGAGGAGAAGAAAGAGCATAAAGAGATAAATTGGGGATGCATATCTGTATGAAAGGGTGCAATTGTTTTTGTAATGGCGTGGATAATTCCTTCTTTTGGTCATTATCACGGACATAAATCACAGGTGATCACTTTCTCATTGCAGGCTTAATGTCCACCCGAGGGTCAATAAACTTTCTAAAAAATGTTTCAGGGTTTGTTTCCCCTCAACACAAATGAACTGCTCCTTAGTTATTCGTCCGTCACAGTGCTGAAAACTTTGAATATTCTTATCAGAGATGCCGATGACACAAGACAATCACTTAGTGTGAATAATATAAAATTGATATGACCTGAAAAATTACAATTGTTAGGTTCCAGTAAGCAAAGGTCTGTGCTATGCACCTTCATATTTGATCACTCAGCGAGCTATAACCACGTGATATTGATGAGACTATGATATTTCTTCCTTAGCACTCCCGTAATGATAATTAACACAGTAGTACAAATAAACGGGGATTGCTTGAGTGAAGAGGGATGAAATATTTTGTTCGTAGAATAGGTAGGTCAGTCAATATGTGAGGCAGCGTGGTGGAATCAAGCTCTCGTCAAAATAATCAAAGTGAAAAAACTTGCATTGTTCCCCAAGTTTGTGAATTTTTATCAAACTTTTGTTTTTTGGCTCAATACCTTCCATGCCCATTAAAGAACTCATTTCTGTATGGATTTTTCTTTAAAATGTTGATTTAAGGCACAAAAAATGTAAATTTTCAGTTACCGCGGACTTTAAAGCTAAGAAAATAAGTATTCTTTGGCGGCCATTTTCTCACTAATTTTACCTCTGAAAACAGGTGACCCCCACCTCCTTCTTTCGCAAATATCTCGACTTGTATTCAAGATGAATGAATATTTTTTTTATCCAAATAATAAAGACAAGTGAATAATCTTTAACATTATACCAATAACTCTACATGCCCAAAAATTGACGAGAGCCTGGTTCCACCATGCTGCCTCACATATGATTTTTATTATTTTCAGAGAGTATTGTACCATATAGCGAGGTAATTTTCTTTTTTTAAAGAAAAAAAAAAGAATTATCTGGATAATGTTGTCACTTCAACATACCCACTGTCTGGGATTACTGTCTTTAGTTTTAACCTAAGAGCAACCTTGAATGGGGAGTGGGGAGGTGATTGTCGGCTGGTCTTAGAAGACAGACCCACTAACTCTCCAACAGTGCCGCTACGACAGTATTTAGTGTGCTCATCACTCTAGCGTGTCATTGGATAATTAACACATTACTATGAAACATTACTCAAAGAAAAGCGCTGGGTTGTAACGACCACAAATGGCGACAGAGAAACTATCTGAAGAGAGCGAGTAGTTTTTTGTTTTTGTAAAGTGTTTTACGGCGCTCGCAACTGCATAGGTCATATGAGCGCGCAGGACACACCTGATATTTTCAGTTGGTAGGCACTTTGAATTTTGCCCGGGTGGCGGGCGAAGCCTACTCTTATCGATTTTAGGCCATCAAGGGATCTTTAACGTGCGCAACTTGCACACAGGCCCTCCGAGATTTTTCGCCCTTGTCCGAAAAGGCTAGGTGTAGATCTTTCATACCAGAAGATCAGGGGTGTGGCAGAAAGACAACAGTTAGGAGGAGCCAAGGAGTAGCAGTAGAAAGGCTGCAGAAAGAGTCAGGAGCCCAGAGGAGGGGGCAAAGGAGGTGAGGGGGTGAGGGCAGAAAGTGGAAATAAAGTAGACAACAGAACATTGCTAGAGAGCAGGAAAGGAGGTGAAAGGAGACAATTTTAGAGAAGAAAATGTTTTGGTCGCTACCTGGATTCGAACCCGGGACCTTTGAATGAGAGGCCAACACCTTAACCTCTAGGCCACGAGAGCCCCGCGAGTAGTTTAATAGCATGTATTAGGAATGTAGAAAGTATGCTGGAACCTGTGATCACATTATGAATACCAAATGGCACACGATTAGGACATATCACTCTAACCCAGAGCCCCCCCCCCCCCCAAAGGACATGAAAAGGCATTTGTTCACTTTTTTACTACTTAGATACCCGAAAGTGAGCATTTATGTGTAGAGAGTGCGAAAATGTATGAAGAGGATGACGATACATTGTTTGACTTTCATCTGGTAGGTAGACCTGTGGTGAGATATCACTAGGATTGGTTTTGTTCTGAGAAACAGATGGGTCATCTTAGGTTAGCGCCATTAGTGTGAACAGTAATATTGAAACAAAACCAAATATGTGCACCACTACACATCGCCTTTTCAACATGTATTGCGTTTATAATCTATTGCAGTTTTTACTTTTTAAGAAAACAAACTAGCTAGCATTTTAAAAAACCCTCAATTCCTGATATTACAATCCGTGGATTTTTTTTTGATTTTTTTTTTTGGGGGGGAGGCGGTAGTTATATTATGTTAAATTGAAAAGCTTAGCATAAAAGAGGGCTCTAAAAAAAGTAAGAGTAAATATGTACAAAAAGAGCCCCCCCCCCTCCT